TTTTCTGGATGTCTTGCACATGCCAAAACTTGTAGGTTGATGAAAAAACATCAATACGTAACTTTGCCGAAAAGTCTTTCGACACAAATACTGATACTTAATTTTGATTCCTTTAAAAGAGAACAAATATTAAATAAACAAAAATGTCAATTAAAAACCATCACATCAAGTTTTTTTGCTTAAGCAAACAAACAAAAAAATGATGCATGTGTAACCGCGTAGTTTGGGTCTAAAAGATGTGTCGTTGATCGGGCAAGAGTGAATGTTGGCAGAGAGGTGAGTGGCACTGTGGGCCGGAAGTAGTAGAGCCGTATTCCAAGGACTCTTCCCGATAACACATATTAAAATTCCAAAGTAACGAGGAATATACATGGATTCTGAATTCATTAACAATACGAGGGCTGTTCAATAAATAATGTCCAGAACTGTACGACATATAGTAGTACACCCGGCCTCTAAAATGCTGAAGTAAACTTTGACAATCGTATTTACGGGAAAATGAACACTGAGTTAAAATGACATGTGTTGACAATGAGTTAAAGTAATACAGTGAACAATTAATGAAATGCTTTGATGAATGGACATAAAGAGCGCCGATAATTAAATAATTACATTGTGTTTGTTATTAAGGTGAATAAAAGGTCCTTGGGCATGAACAATCTGCCCCCTAGGTGTCTGACAAGTGTCAGTCAGTAATTAAATGAATACTTAATAATTTAACATGACAAAAATTTGTAAAATACAATTCTAAAAACAAAATAATTTCAGAATATTAAATATCATATTAAAAAGTAAATCAAATGTAACGTTTAAAGCCCCAAATGAATTTAAACGTAAAACAGTCAATTTTTCACAAGGTTATGATTTTGATTTGAAATGACATAAGTAATAAATTCCTGAAATATAAAGAAATCGTAGGTTTTCCTTGGTGCTTAGATATAACAATTTGTTTTGTTTTCTATTTAATTCCATACAAATCTTTTTAACCTTATGACAGAATCTTATAAAATTTAAATTCTCCCACTATACTTTGTATACATTACTCAGTGTCAACGTATCACAAATATTCCCCCACCATCCACCCTCCAAAGACAGTCTATATATACATTTTTCCTTTGCGACTGATTGTAAGTTGTAAAATTTGCATAATGTAGGTTTGTTACAAAGTTCGATAACTCAAATTATGGCCCTTTGAGCAACGTACACAAAACGCTCTTTTCTCTCTGCTTTATTTTATGCAAATGATTATTCACTGCTAACAGGTGGCAGGTTTGTAAACTATATAAGACTTCATTGAATCATTTCTAGGAAGAAGAAGCATCAAACTCAGTGACTAACGATAATGTCACGTGTACAGTTCGGACGAAGTGTGAGTTTATCTCACTAAATAAGTACTGCTACATTAAAGTAGTATATTGAAAAGAGCGTTTGATTGTTCTACATGAACATTGTAAATCGGGACTTGAAGAAATTGATGTTCATTTTCATCTAGCTATAGATACCAATGTTAATGAACATGATATGGAATTAGAAGTGATTAATGGAGCTTTACAATGACAATGACAATGATGCATTGTAAAATGATCGAAGTAAATAAAAGAAATGAAAGTGTATACAAATTGTGGAATTTCTTCAAAAGCCTAGATACCTATGATTTTTATGCGCCCGGATCAAAAGATCCGAGGCGTATATTGTTTTTGTCCTGTCTGTCTTTTTTCTTTTTTTAGTTTAAAACATATTTTATTCATTAAGAAATGGATTGAACAGCAGGCATAAATGCCTATGATCGTTCTCTCCATAGGTCAAGGTACAATTACAAGTCCATGTAAACATTGAAAAAATGTATGAAGAGTAGATTATCAATTGGTACAATTTAGAATGAATTCAGAGAGAGAGAGAGTAAAACAAATGAATAGAAAAAGTACAATTTAACAAATGAATAGAAAAAGAATAATAATTATATAAAATATAAACAAAAAAAAGAAAAGAAAAAAAAACATAATATGATTGAGCAGTTGTTGTTGACCCAGAGTAGGAAGAATTCCTTAACAAAGCAGTTTACACAATCATATTTCCCATAGAATATCATATTAAACTAAAATTTCAATGAGCCTAGTGGGGATTCGGGTTAGAATAGGTCCTCAGTACCCCCTTGCTTGTCGTAAAAGGCGACTAAATGGGGGGTCCTTCGGATGAGACCGTATAAACCGAGGCCCCGTGTCACAGCAGGTGTGGCACGATAAAGATTCCTCCCTGCTCAAAGGCCATAAGTGCCGAGCATAGGCCTAAATTTGCAGCCCTTCACCGGCAATGGTGACGTCTCCATATCAGTGAAATATTCTGGAGACGGACGTTAAACAGTATACAATCAATCTTAGAGTTTCTTATGAAGGTATGTACATGATCAAAAAATGAAAAAAATTATCCAGACTTAGTGAATCAACACCATATAATATGTTTTCTATATTAATCGGTATGTTATTTTCATTCATGTATTTGATCAGCATATGTCTTTGAGAGGCACATTGATGACAATGCAAGAAAAAAAGCAATGCGTTCTCGTTTTGGTATCCGCGATTTGTACAAGTCATGTTGGTAATTCGTTTAGGTGATCTTTGAAAAGATCAACATTAAGGTTACTACATTTATTCCTTAACTGGCAGTGTATTATGTTTTCAATTTCTTGGAAGAAGTGGCAGTTTAATTTATTTTTAAAAGTTTGTAATGTAGGGGAGTTTCTACAATCATCAGATAAATTTTTCCACAAGGATGTTGTGGATGGTACAAAGCTATTGTATTATGACACTGTTCTAATGATTGGGATTCGATATGAATTAGGGTTGCGCAAATTATAATTATGCTGAATTGGCTGTCTGTCTGTCTGTCTGTTTGTCTGTTTGTCTGTTTATCTGTTTGTCTGTTTGTCTGCTAACTTTAACCTTCGCCATAACTTTTGAACTATGAATGAAAGAGACTTCATATTTAGTATGCATACTCCACTCATTAAGGTCTTTCAAATGACACCAAGGTCAATGACCTTGTGACCTTGACTGTTACCTTTATGCTAAAAATAGTTTTTTCAGCAAACTTTAACCTTCGCCATGACTTTTGAACCATAAAAAACAGAAACATCATATTTGGTATGCATATTCCACAAATTACGCCTTTTCACATGACACCAAGGTCAATGACCTTGTGACCTTGACTGTGTCCTATATGCTAAAAATAGCTTTTTTGAACCTTCACCATAACTTTTGAACCATGAGAGACAGAAACTTCATATTTGGTATATATACTTCACTAATCAAGTTCTTTCAAATGACACCAAAATCAATGACCTTGTGACCTTGACTGTGACCTATAAGCTAAAAATATGTTTTTTTAACTTTGTGCCGCCGGGTGCATAGTGTTTCACAAACACATCTTGTTATTTTTAAAATGTGTTAATTGATTAAATTTGAATTGGAAAATGCATAGCAGTTGTTTTTATTCACAATTCCTGAAAATATATTTGAGATTTACTAATTTTCTCTATATAATATGATTAACTTGAAAGATTAAGTTTGAAGAATTATTATGTGTAAAAAGACGTTACTTTGAAAATTCAGAGACATTTTTGTGAGCATTTTCAACTAGTCAATGCTTGATTTCAGAACCTGAGGATCAGAGTACCTTAAATTTCACTCAGTGGTATAAGAGGCGTTGCGGATAAGAGATGGGTACCCCAAAGCGTAACAGACAGACGGACGGACGGACATACCGATACAGTATACCCTACCACTTTTCAAGCGGGGGGTATAGAAAATAGCTAGAAGATTTCATAAATTGTGTTGAAGGACGACGAAACATACAAGTAGGTGCACATTTTATAACCGAAAAATAAGATCAATATAATATAAATGTTACCTTGCAAACATTACTCAGATTACCTATTTGAATATAGATCTATAAAAAATATTGCTGATTTCTGGAAAAAAGGTTGTTATTTATCCAATTCCCCGGGGTTCCTACAGGAATTAATGTGACTGGTCCGTGTCGCCCGATACTCGTGTCCGCCGATCATATTCATTTAACCGACGATACCAGAAATATTTGGTCGCCCTACCATCGGCTTAAATGTGTCCTTGGCATATTAAACTAGTAAGAATATGTAAAACTTTTATTGTTTTTTTTTTTATTTTTAGATGATAATTTGCATTATTTATTGAACGACCCTCGTAACAAAACCCATATAAGGTAATCAAGTTCTTTCTACCAGTGTATCTTGAGATTGTCGCTTTCAGTGGTGAACCCTTACAGTCAGCTTCAGTTCTTTTTATCTCTGAACTTCGTTATCTTTGATTTTTTTTTTAAGGGCGTAAATTACTAAATGTAGTAAACTATATTGGAAAAATAGTCAAGGAATTAAATATTTAAATGTTTTAATTTTCAAAGCATTTATTATAGAAGAATTTTTCATTCTGAGTCCATGATATAAAAAAGTTTCTATGCTTGAAGGCAGAAAATTATCGCTATTCAGATGAATGTGTCATAGTGCATGTAAAAAAAAAAAAAAAAAAAAAAAGAGAAATTTTGAGTAAGACTTGAAAATCTTTTATGAGAATTACTCATTTAAATGAAATTACTCTTGTCTATTTGTAATTATTTCGATTATAAGATTATTACATATGCATTTAATAATTAACTCAATCGGTGTCGTCCTAATTCACCAATTGCGCTAATTGCTATTGTTACCGGTATTATTTAATATTTATGTGTCACATCTTATGTAGCCATTCAGTTGAGTTTCAGTTTCTGGACTGTCTATATTTGTTTTGTGAAATTTACCGTAATTCATCCAATTGACCTTATTTTCTCCCACTAATTCACCAATTTTATCACTTACCGTATTTTTCCTTCGTTGTTACCGAAAAAATTCCATAAATTTTTATTGAAATGACAGGTCATTGAATGTCACGGGTATGGACAGAATCACTGGACCGTGAAGCTAGTTACCATAAAAACCGAGGACCAATTCAATAATTTGTCACTCTACCCCCAGAAAAAATACAAGAAGTGAAAAAAAGTAAAAGAACAGAATGTTTACTGACATTAGAAACTTAACAGAAGCCATAGATAATTTGGCAAAAGCAACCGAGGATCTGGAAAAATGGAAGACAAGCGCAGCGGAGAATATGGACAATATGTTTTTGGTCCTGATGGGAATCATTATATACCGTAAGATAATTTTTTTCCCTCCTCCTGTCACCTCAAGTTATTGTTTTTCCTTTGACAGAAATTATTTGCATGATCAAAATATAGCTTAGTTGAAAAATTATATTATTTCAATAGGAAGGATTAATTAAAAGAAGAGATCAAATTATTTTTAGAGAAAGAGAGAGGGGATACAAAATCTCGACCAAATTTTAAAAACTTAAAAAATCAAGTTTTACCGACATCAAATTGTAAATGCAAAAGAGTTATTCCATTTTTTAAAAGACATCAACCAAAAACAAAACAAAACGATATACCCTCGTTTTTTTTATTAGGGGGCATAAAAATTAAGAATTTTCCTAATATTTAGATGAATTTGTTCAAGTGTTAAACACATGATAAATTATAACGAATGTTCATTATGATAATGAATAGTTCCTTTCAATCATGATTTTTTTTTTTCAGTAATGCAGGGAGGATTCGCCTTAATAGAATCTGGCTGTGTCAGAAGTAAAAACACAACCAATATCCTGATAAAGAACCTGCTAGACTCCTGTAAGTTTTCTACTACAAAGCCTCTCAAATTGAAAGAAAAATATTTATATTGTGTATTTACGATTTTGTGAAATATCTTCCATTTTCTTTCTTTGATCATTAAATATGCGTCCCATTTATATCACCAATCTCTAAACCATAAAAAAGCCCATTAGCCTACAAGTCCAGCGAAAAGACAAGTGTAATATACTCTCCAAAGGTGTCACCCTTAACTCTGGATGGTGTAATGATATATATATATTTCTGTAAATCTGGATTATAAAGATATTGTGTAATGTTAAGAGATACGTAATTGCATAAATACAGCTGTACGTCATTTGAAAGAGAGGAAAACGGCATTTTTGCTTCAGGAAATATGGCCTCATTTGGAAACAAAGAATTCTCACTTGATCTATTGCACGAGTTTATATTGTCTTTGCCTTATGTTAAACAATGCCCATTAAATGGTATCTTATACTTTGAAATAATTCTCAAAATTATTTTCTCAAGTACTTAGAGGTTTCGGATTCTGCAAGTGTCCTACATTTTCCGGATAATTAATCAGATTAAATCCATTTTAAGCAAGTCTATTTTCAAAACAACAAAAGGGAAAAAACTTCAATCATATATTATAAGGATAAGTCAAATTATAGAAGTAATGATGCATACTATAAATAAATTACTCATGTGTCGTATTCTGTATGAGACCTTTACCTTCAAAACATTAAATATCCCATATTTCGTCAAATGAGTATTAAAGAAACATAACAATTATATATTTGATATCGATATTCAAGTGTCAAAGGGTAGGAATGGGGTATGGCATATGAACAAAATTTCAAAGCGAGGGAAATAGTGAGGGAAATGATATAACGAGGGAATTAAAATAAGACACGACTATGAAATAACGCAAGTTTATCTCTAGGAATCACTAGCTTTCCATTCAGAGATTCTGATGTAATATAAATTATCATTTCTTCTTTTCAGTTATCTCCGGGGTGTTCTATTGGATTTTCGGGTACGCCTTTGCGTTTGGTGCCGGAAACGCCTTTATAGGGTACGATCATTTCGCCCACAGTGGTATGGATGACTCGTCGTACGCCACATGGTTCTTTCAGTACGTGTTTGCCGCCACCGCCGCTACCATTGTGTCTGGGGCAGTGGCAGAAAGATGTGAATTTATAGCTTACCTTGTCTACAGTTCTTTAATAACAGGTATACTAGATTGATAATTAATTTTTACAATAATGTTTTAATATCATTTTTATCTTTTTTCCCAACGATTAATAGACAAAATATGCATGTTCTTTGGTGTATACTCAAAAAACCTCTTTCTCTCCTTTTTTTAAACATAGAATATGCCATTCAATAACATACTGTATTATAAATTCCAGGATTTATCTACCCTGTGTTGACACATTGGGCATGGTCGTCAGAGGGCTGGATGAACCAAGGCTTCACTTACGACACGGGAGACAACTCCACCACGATCTCAATATCATATCAGGTATATATATAAAGATGCATAATGTACAGAAAAACATTGATATCACAAACCAATGCTCGAAATAGATTTTTTGTTGTATCTATTTTCATCAGTTAATTGTATTTGATGACAAATGTATTTAACATTAATTAACATTAAATTTTAATATGGCAGTTAAAAGCGTTTCCTTAACAAAAGGTTTCTCGTTGACAATTTTTATTTGACATGAACAATTTCCTTTTTGATTCACTTGTGCATGTATTTTCTTTATTTTTTCTTTACTAAGACTAAATTTTTGTTTGTTGCACAGGATTTTGCGGGTAGCGGTGTAGTGCATACATGCGGTGGGGTTGCTGCATTTTTGGCGGCATTGTTAATGGGACCCAGAATCGGAAGATTTGATAAAGAAACGGGGGCACCACTGGACATCAAAGGTCACTCCGTACCGGTAAGGCATTCTAACAGCCCTTTGTTTCAATAATCATGCACTGCATCATTTTTAAATGAAAATTTTATGGATTATTTCACAGTTGAAATCGATCTTTTGTAGCTGGCTGCCCTCGGAGGATTCATTTTGATTTTTGGTTTCTTGGCTTTCAACGGCTCTTCCCAAGGTTCCATTTCTAACCCTGGAGATGGAGCTGCGGTTGCTATGGCGATAAAAAATACCGTCATGTCGGCTTCTTCTGGTGCTTTTACGACTATGTTCATGAACAAAATTTCATTGTTTGGAGATCGGAAGTGGAGTTTCGCAACCACACTTAATGGTGCTTTGGCAGGAATGGTAAATTTAAAGATCAATCTTACATTTTTGGATTTCCCTTTTTTTCTTGCAGTTTTCTTTCTCAATAAAACATTAATACACGTATACAGTTTAGGCCACAATTTACTTTTAGCTGTGTCTTCTAAATTAGAATATACTGTACTGTCTATGATATATTTACTCATGCAGAAAGGATAAAATTATGATAATTTACTTGCAGGTAGCCATTTGTGCTGGTTGTAACCAAATGGAAACTTATGCTGCTTTTATTGTTGGAATTGGGGGAGGCATTGCCTATATGATCACCACGTGGTTGGTTCTATTCAAATTTAAAGTGGACGACCCTCTGGACGCATGTGCTGGTAAAATACAAATTGAAATTCTATATTTGTCCAAACACGTTGAATTACATGAAAATACCAGTACAATTTCTGTTTAAGTAAGAATAATTGGAAGCCTGTTTCATACAAATGCTTTTGTAATTAAATCTAACTAAAAACTGGAATATGCACGCGACTAGATCTTTTGACAAAGTATGGTTATTTCTTGTCATTAATGAGGTTAACTTTCAATTATGCTGATATATTCATTGTATTTTTTTTTTTACAGTGCACTACGGAGGAGGAGTGTGGGGAGTAATTTCGATCGGGCTCCTTTCTAGAGATGTTGGGATTCTGTATAAATGGAATGCCGAGGCCGGGCTGGTAAGAAACATGATGCAAGATACATTGCAATATGCATTCAATGGCAAATGAATTAAGTCATATTCGATTTCTTTAATTTCTTAAATTACTTAAATATTTTCAAAACACCAATACTTTATAAACTTGTAAAGTAAAATAATCATTCTTATATTTACAGACCCTGGCTTGGCAGCTGATATGTTTGTTGGCCATTATTGTGTGGACCGGTGCTCTTTGCTTTGTTATGTTCTACATCCTTAAAAAGCTACATCTCCTTAGAGTTTCTTTTGAGTGGGAAACGAAAGGTAATTGTAGTCTAAAAAGAATCAATCTCATTTTAAATTTTATAATTTCCTCGCAACAGAGCTGGTGCAATCGTGTGTGTTTGTTAGTGGGTGGGTGAGAGAGACGAAGTGATTTAATTTGCATTTCGATTGATGTCGAATGCTGCCTTGATTTATAATTATATAAACGCTGTTTTTGGTGTTCTTCTTTCTCTTTTTTATGTCATTTCTCTAATTTTTAAACTTCTTTCTAGGTTTGGACATTCCAAAACACGGAGAGCCGGCGTACCCTGCCGAAGCTTACGGGCACGGCTGGGGGGAGAAGGGAGACACGCTGTTCACAATGGTTAAAAAAGCATCCATGGTTTCCTCCGAGTCTACTATAAAACTTGGTAAGAATAATTTGATATCTTTGAAGAATCAACATCAGGCTGTTTTTAAAGACCGTTTTCATGAAATAAATCTTAAATTTGATTTACAAGGGAGGATGACTTCTTTATATCAATAACTTTACAGAAAGAAAAAAAACTATTTTTGGGTGATGGTGATATAGTAGTGTATTACATATTATGATACTTTTTACTATGTAAGAGGATTTACCAAATGATTGTAGAATGATTGTATTGTAAAGGACATTTTTTGTCATGCTCTTGATTTTAGCGAACTGTACATACGGGTTTATTGTGGTACTCTAAGAATTTTTATGTAGCACACGTGGATCAAAAAATAGATCCGGAGTAGTTTACATTGTAGCCCATGATAACTATTTTACATACAAACAATAAAGACAATTTTAATTTTCATACTGAAAACTGCAATAATTATAGTTTTTTAAAGATTACAGTATGATTTAAGATTTCTGAATTAAATATCAAAGCCTGTTTTTCTTTTGTAGCTTTATCAGAATTGTCCCTTGGAAGTGCGAGCTTCAATACAAATATGACAGAAAAAACTCAGTTGTGAGAGCTACTGATAGAAGACAGAAACTGAGTGTTTTCTTCTTGAACTCAGAGTCTATGAATTCAGAGTAATTTGTATACAAGTATGAATTGTTATAAATATTTCGATTAAAATATATAAAAACGTCTTTTCTCCTTATTTCTCATTCAAAGAAATATATGTACTCAGTATAATTATATTAAATTGATTCTCCACCCTATAAATTTCAAGACTTTGAAATCGCTGCTTTAGCACCTAATTAGAGGAGTATGATTTAAATGTGTTTATCCTTCGTTCATTCATACATTGCTTCCCTCCCAGAGTTAGGTGAAAACATGTTGCTATATGCAATGTAAATAATTTAGTTTATATAAATCATTCATATACTATTATCAAAAATAGCAACATTTTCCATTCATGTGTATTCAAAGTTTAATATGTTTATGTTTAAAAATGAATACGACGGATCGAATATTGCAACGTTTGACATGTCGTACAGACCACTATCAGGGGCGTAGTGCATAAAATTACACTATAGGAAATGTTAATTGAAAGCTTCATTATAAAAAGAACAAAAGTAGTTGACTGCTGTCAGATTGTTGTCAACTTTTTCAGTTTCTTTATTTCATAACATGAAAATTTTTATATTTATTAACTGGATATTTTTTTTATTAAAGGCCGTACATAGCCAAGTATACTTGTCACCATATCGGCCAATCCATCTAAACAGCAAAGAAAATAAGCAAATTCAAAGAATTGTGGTCCCCCGCTTTCGGTGTCTTTGTGAGTGAGATGTCATTTTTATTAAGTCAAATATGAAAGCCCTATCATATGTCATTTAGAAATAATCAGCGAAGTTGAATTTTTAAAAAATAAGGTCAATCATGAAAGGTCAAGGAGTTGGAAATCACAGCATGCTCGGAAATATCTTGTCACAGGTAATGAACATGTCAAATGTGAAAGCCCTATCTCTTCTCAATCAAAAGTTATAGGAGCAAGATGTGTTTCTGAAACACTGATGACCCGGAATGGCAACATAGGGAATATTAAACTTTTCTTAAATGCAAATTAAATATATAGGTACCCAAATAGGGTCTTTTCACAAGAAATACGATTGTGAAATATGAAAGCCCTAGCACCATCTGTTCAAAAGTTATAACCAATGATAAGATTTTGAAAGGTAGGTCAAACTCTAAGGTCAAAGGGTCAAAGTTGTTGGTTTCTTGAGAAAGGTCTTGTCACAAGTATTACATATGTGAAGTGTGAAATCTCTAGCCCTTACCGTTCAAAATTTATGGCCAAGGTTAAATATTTCAAAAAGTAGGTCAAACTCCACGGTCAAGGTCAAAGGGTCAAAGTTCTTGGTATCAAATGAAAGGACTTTTCACAAGAATTACGTACGAAAGCCATTCAAAAGTTATGACCAATGTTAAAATTTTTAAAAAGAAGGTCAAAATCCAAGGTCAAGGTGTAAAATTGCTTGATGTACAATGAAAGGTCTTGTCACAAGGATTAAATATGTGAAGTATGAAAGCCCTAGCCCTAACCCTTCAAAAGTTATGGCCAAGGTTAAAGTTTTTAAAAAGTAGGCCAAACTCCAAGGTCAAGTTCAGCAGGTCAAAGTTCTTGTTATCTAATGAACGATCTTTTTAAAAGGATAAAACGTGTGAAGTATGAAAGCCCTAGCCCTTACCGTTCAAAAGTTATGGCCAAGATAAAAGTTTTTTCATTAGTACAGAAATCTCCAAGGTCAAAAGGTCAAAGTCGTTGGTATCCTATAAAAGGTCTTGCAAAGAATACATATATAAAATATGAAAGTCCTAGTATCTACCGTTAAAAAGTTATGACCAAAGGAAAAGTTAAAAATATTTGTGTAAAAGTGGGTCAAACTCCAAGGTGAAAAAGTCAAATTTGGTGATACCAAAAGAAAGGTCTTGTCACAAGGAATACACAAGTGAAATATGAAAGTCATGGCTCCACTAAATCAAAAGTTACGGGCAAGGTTAAAGTTTTTGTGGCGGACGGACAGACTGTCTGACAGACATACAGACGAATGAGATTTAATGTCCCCTCGCTTTCGCGAAAGTGGGGGACAAAAAATGGCCAAGTGTTATTTTGATCTTCTGACATATTTTAAGAGGGCTGGGGGTTGTGGCCATTTTCAGACCATTTCCTTCTCCTTTAGAAGAAGAGCTCCATATCAAGATATACAAAAATAATAAAATTTTTAAACTAAAATGTATAAAAGTTTTCTTTGCCAAATGATAGTTGGCAGCTTAAGATATCATACCTAAAAAATTAAAGTATATCTTATTGTTAATTTGTTGACCCCCCAGCCTCCTTAAAAAAACCCTCACGTGTTATACCACTCTATGTCTTATGGTTTAGAAGACAGAAGAATCGATGGCATTGTTATGTGTCAGTATGCGTCCTCCGAGGAACAAAAACTTATAATATATTATCATATATGATAATGTCATCAGCCTGTGCAGTGCTGTGCAAGACCATCGCATGGTTTTTTTTATCCTTCATAATGTAGGTCATCTAAGCAGAAAAAAACCCACAGTGAACGAAAGAAATTCGCTGATTTTGCCAAGAATTTAGTACTGAGAGAGTCATACTTAGGATAACATTGGGGGCGTTTACTTGTCAAGCGGTAATTAAAAAGTTTGGGAATTAAAATCCTTTTTTCGACTTTTCAGAAGGGCTCCGAAATAAAAAAAAAAAATGCAACATTGCTTTAAAAATCAAACATATCAAACTTATACCCTAAACATATTTTTCTTATAACTGTTACTTACATACAGCTGTGATGTTACTGCTGCTGCACCATCAACGTCCTCAGCCGAGGCCATGCCTCATTTTGTGTTTCGACCCCTAACCCGATAACCTCTCAGGATGGGGGTTCCACAGTGATGATAAGTCACTGCGTGTTGGTGGTGGGTATCCAGCTACTAGTCTCTCTCCTTATCCAAAACCAGCATGATGATCTTTCTGCTACTTGGGACATCTTTTGGACTGCTGTCCTCCTGCTTCTCCCTGTCACCCCTAGCCAAAAATTAAAACATCCTCCAAACTTGCTGTGCCGGGAAACCTCTACATCCAACCTCTATTGGATGGTTTTAGGTTTGTCATACTTTCTCTCTACATTTTGCCAGCAACGCGTCATATTATGCCTTCTTCCTTTCATGGGCTTCATCGCATCTTTCTATATAGGGAACTGTCAGCTCTATGACAATGATTATCGTCTTTGTACTTGACCACAGTACCATATCAGGCCTGAGATCAGTGGGAAGTATCTCAGTTCAATTCTGACCTAGATCTACAGCCAGCATCCAATCGTCTGCCTGGTTTAGTATTCCGGAGGTCTTCTTTTCTCTTTTCTTCGCTGTTTCATTCTTAAATTCTGCCATCTCTTTTAGAACCTGATTATGACGCCATGTGTATCTCCCCTGTGTTAAGGCCACCTGGCAGTAGGATAGAATGTACTGTAGGGTTCCTCTTTTTCCATAAAGGGGGCACTCTGGCGTTTCTGTGAGATCCCATCTGTGGAGAGTGGGTGATGTTGGTAGCAGATCGTACACTAAGCGTAGTAGAAATTGTAGCTGGAACTACGGCTATTTCCAGATGTCTGCGCAGGCTATAGTGTCCGTTGGTCTATTTCCCATCTTGCCCACCCCCTAGACTCCCATCTCCACTGCTTTAGCTTGTCGTTTTCTTCCTCTTGCTCGGGTCTCTATCTGTACCATGCCACGTCTCTCCTTTGTGTCAGTCTTCTTCTAAAAGCTGCTTTTGGATGTCCTCACTAGACCTTGCCTTCCCACCGTCACCATTCCTACAGTGGCTTTGTGTCTCAAGTAAAATCATTTTGTCTAGAAAATCAGATTAGATTTTTAATGTTGAACGTTCGGGTAATTTGTCTATCACCCTACTACATCTATTTATTTGCTCTTTTGTATTACGGACTGAAAAAAAGAAGCCAAAAAATCCCACGGTTTGTAATACTTTTTTTTGCTTCATACACGTGTTTCTTTAATATCACTGATAATTTTAAGAAGTAACAGGTAGTTTTTTTTTTGATTAGACTAATTTGCTCCCAAAATTTCATGCAATTTAATGGACAAACTATTCATAATCTATTTATAATATTTTTGAAATATTTAACTCCATCAAATTTAATCTGAAAATAGATTTCAATGTGATATTGAATTCTTATATGCAATGAGCATGATCAATTTCTTGTCTTTTCATTAATTTATTAATTGTCAAAGAATGATAATTAACCACAAATATGTGTTCCATGTTCACCTTTTACACCTGAGAACTCGCCACGCTTCAGTGATATTACTATAAGTATATTAACCATGTATGTTTTATGTCTGATTTCATAAGGACAGTACCATCGGTTTATGCAAGATCTTTAATTTTTTTGGCGGATCAAACATTATGAACATCGGACATTATCTCCAGTTTGTTGCCTCTGTGTTGATTATTTTCTTCACCATCGGCAATGTTGAAGGTATGTATTTTAATTAAAAAATATGATTAGGAAAAAAGGTTCTTCATTACCAACTTCCAATAAAAATTTCTTTAATATATAAATAAATACATGTATGTTATTTGAAGATGTTAAGCCTAGCAATTGCAGAATATAAAAGAAACATGTTTTTCTTCTTAAAAGAAATTAAAGAAATAATTAAAAATGCATAAGAATTCGCTGCAAATGCTGATTACTCATGTTAGTATCTTTTGTGATTTTTTTAGAGCATATATCGTAAGATTCAGCTGAATAATCATAAATTATGTAAAACATAACGTTTTAATAAGTTGTTAAAAAATTCTCTGATCTTGAACTTTTTTTAGATAAAAGCTAATATATACAATGCATAAAACATGTGTAAAATGTAGTCAGGTTAAATTTCTGGATTTTTTTTTTTTTACATTCAATATCATTCTTTTTAATTGCGCAAATCGATTAAATGGTAAAATTGTTTACTTCAGACATTATTAAGCTAAATACTGGTATATAAATAGATACTGATCGAAAAAAAAAATACTAATAACAATAATTAATTCTTTTGTTTTTTACATTTCCATTCTAAGAACGTAAACAGATATGTACATGTATACTGATAAGGAATTATCATATATAGGATTGTTTTTGTGTTGATCACGAATGTTGTTTATGTCAAAGAATATTGGAAACATGTAAGCTGGTATAAATGTTTTTCTCACATTCTATTTTTAGAAGAAGCTATATAGTAGAAGAAAATATTTTCATATACATACTTATCCTCCAGCCTTTTGAGAAAAATGTCCTCAAAAAGAAATATTAACGCACTAAGATGATTGCAATACAATTCAATAAACAATATACATGTACTGACTAAGTGGGCATCTCTGTAGCATACCTTTAATTGTTAAATAAATAACTTTATTCATTTTCTCTCTACTTTCAATGTTTTTTTCACAAATATTATTTTTCCATTGCTTTCATCTAAATAGACATAGGAAATGGAATTGATATAATCATTACATGTCTCGAGTTAAAACATGTCAATGGTGCACAAATGAGACAGTTTTAGTACAATTATCGATTAGCAAACCAATAATTACATAACATGTCAATCTATATACAGCGTAAGCGTGCATATAGAAAAGGGTTCCGTAACCTAAGATAATAAATCTAAGAAAGCATTGATAAGCAAGCATATGCTGATTATATATTATGGACATGACATGGACTGTAATGGCAAACCACACCGGTCATCTAATCATGACAATATTATTGTTTCGCGGTCATTTATAAGCATACACACTTAATTCTTATAGAAAACGTCTGAATTTTTCTTACACTGATGAAAAAACGGAAGCATGCTGAATCACTGCATGACTCGTATACATGGATGCCGACAAATTGTTTCTGACCAACACGAACAGACCATTAATTTTTTGGACTAAGTAATTCATCCAACATACCAATCTAAATTATATTTGTTACTCTCACAGAATGTTAAAATACAGATAAGTAATCTATTATACAGACAGATAGTTGATCATATTTGGAGTAAACAAATAAATCTAATAACTACAAAATTCCTTAGACGTTAATTACTGTGTCAGGCTTTACAGGCAATCAAAAGCGGTTTTTGTTATTAAGATATATCACTTTGTGATGGACAAAAACAATGCCTACAATATGATAACAAATGGTCTTTAATACTCCATATCATTTCTTCCACATTTTTCATGTGACCATTTTTGTCGTTGACTTCCAAAAATGCAACCAGTTTGCGTTAACGAAAATAACCGAGAATTAGCATTGAATTGTTTGAAAGCAAATGTTTTCCTCATAATTTTTAAAGCAAAGTTCTATAATGAGGTTATTGTCAGCAAATAAGATATTTGATAAAGGAAAGTTCAATTAGAAATTATGTTAAACTGATACATCAATAATATTTCCAGGTCAGCTGGGTCGAACACAGCGACAAAGGAGTCGGTTTGTGTTGCGTCAGTCTTCTCGCCCCACCACAAGAGTTGGTTCAACAATGGCAGACCTTCTAAGACAGAGACAGAGACAGAGGATGAGTTTGCAAGGAACAAGCAACGCGAACGAAATACGCCGTCAACTTCTGCGAATGATTGCAGCAAGACGATCGGGCTCGACATCCTCATCGGCAGGTACCCGGAACACCATTGCAGGTGTCCGGAACAGGAGTCGGGTGATCACGCAATGCCCAAGCATTAGTTGTGTACAGGTTCCGGCTAACTGCCGAAGGCTTACATTCTACATGACTGAGACGGGGAGACGGTGTAGGGGGTGTGATTTCAACCGCTGTGAAAACTTTCAATCGAGATGGGAGAAGGGTTTTTCGAGAATTGAGTGAATAACGCAAAAGTTATGTCAAAGCTTCAAGATGAAGGCTGTGATAAACTCAACATCAATTCATCTTTATTGCTCGTTAGAATCACAGAAAGAACCGATGTCATCAGTTTCTTTTGCGTGCTATACGTTTTGAAATACTATACTTGTCGAAGGAATTAAGGAATAAATATATGGTGTTTTAGTATCATTGAAATCAGAGAAATAGTAAACATTATATGTGTGAGTTGGCGGAAAAGAGTGTGACATGAATCAAAGGCCCGAGCAATTCGATCACAATTCATTGTACATAATCATTATATATTTAATTGGATGTCCAGTAGTATCTATTGGACTATGTGTATGTTGTAAGCCTTTGTTTTTGTTTCTGATATTTTTGTTCATTAGTAAGGTCATATAAATGACCTGACACTTTTATGACCTTTATTATTGATAGTATTTATATCGAGACATTTGCAATAGAGACAGAATATCTCCAGGAAAAGTTTATACTGTTTTTTCGCAATTCCCCAGTCATTGTTATGGCTGTGTTGATTGTTTACACGTGTGTTCTTTGTGTTCTGCTCTTTAGATCTACAACTTTTATATGTAATTAATAAAAAAAATGCTTTGTTACTTTTGTCGTAAGATACAATAACAACGAAAAAAATTCATAAATGGTAAAGGAGACTTAAAAGATCGCTGGGGAAAGATGAGATTTGCAGGTACACAAAAAATATTAATTCCATGTTCACTATCTGAAAATGTCATATTATTGTTAAGACACTAAAGATTTCATCAACACCACACTTGATAGAGTTATGACAAAGGAAAAGAATCTAAAAGACATATTTCTATCAAATGATTGCGTGATAAGAGATATGATAAACCTGAATGATGGTTTAATTATGAAACACGATTGCACTGTTTGTAGTACAAATAAAAGGTCTTTGATAAAATATGGAATCAGAGAGGAATCTGTCGTTCTATTTTTGCATACATAGAAAAGTCACAACTCTCAAAAGTGTCTTACAGATTAATTTACTTTTGACTTGATAATACATCTACCTACAATCAAACGAAGGACCGTCAATGGTATTGAGTAGTTTTTGTATAAAACATTTTTTGTAAGGAAAATCCAAATACCGATATCCAGAGTGAATTTCTTAAAGCTGAAAACTTTCTTAAATGCAAGTTTGGAAACAAGCATGAACTGTTTAGAAAATTTTGTAGAAAGAAACGTTTAAAGATGTGGCCTTTCCCCAAACCCCCGCATTCATGTATATATATATATATATATATATATATATATATATATATATTCAAAAACTAAAAAAGAAACATTAAAGACAATCGCTATAATTTTAGATCTGTCCCTGGAAGATGCTGGGTTATCCCAGTTATAATGAAAAAAAAAAACCAAAACTTTGAGTAATCTTTTAAGGTAAAAAGACAATAGTTTCGATGTATAAAAAAAACTTATTAGCTTTTATTGTTATCAAAAAAGATGGCTTTTTCGCATTACTTATTGATTTAACTGCAGACCTGTAACTTGCTGGTCTAAAAGAAATTGGATGGTCGTTCATCCATTCTTTTTTTTTGAAATGGAATGGTCGTCAACCCCAATTTTTTTTAAAGACCAGCGAGCTACAGATCTGCAGCTATAGCTGAACGAACCTCCTATTATACATATATGATTGTTCGTTTATTCATGAACGTAAATTGTGAATTTGAGCTTAAATTTAAAAATGAAAACCATATTCTGAACAGAAGCTCAAGTCTGTTCTATCAAGACTTACGTTCTATGCAAAAAGGCCCCTGTGTGACATATAAATTTACAAGTTTCGAAGTGTTTCGACTGTTGTCTTTGAGTATGGATTCTATTCATTTCATCAAAAAGGATTATAAAAAGGCAGCAATGTATGATATAAAAAAAATACAGCAATTCTATGGAATTCCTCTACAGCTGATTTTGTCACATACTCAACCATGGATGGATGTATCTTATTCAACACGAAAACTGGAGATAAAGAACTGTAAAGAACTGTAATCAAGCTCAGAAGGTCAGAGGCGGGATCGAGTGCCTTTGAGGAGTAAGCATCCTCGGTCGACGGACAGAACTTTCATCGATTTTAAAAATAAGCAAGATATTTTTAGAGAAGTCGTCTGATACCATCCTTATCCAAATTAAAGGATATGTAAAATGTGAGTTTTTTTGGCCAATGACCTTGTTGTAAGACCCACTTTTCGCAAAATATTACAGAAATGAAACAAAATTACATGTATCATCAGTATACTGATTATCAAAACTTGAGTTTTATGCTAACAATGAGATATAAGTTTAGATTTCAAGGGATGCAAGTTAATAAAAGTTAACTCACTTCTTTATTTTGATTATCTTTTCATGCAGTAGACACAACATTCTTAATTTTTCCCCTAACACCAAATTGAATTCAAGGTCCATATACGCAGATGTTCAAAAGAATTCTTGATAATAGATTTTTTTCATCTCGAATTTAACAGAACATATTAGAACTCTATGTACATCAATATTAATTAATTAACTTGGCAAAAATAAGAATATATTACAAAATGAGGTATAAAAAATCAATGATATAGCGTAATCATTGAGATGTGAATCAATTTGTAAGCTGCTCGAGGAAAACAGTCGTTTTTTGGAGAACGGCGCGCGCAGTCGCCGTATTTTGTCGCAAAGATTCACCAAAGAGATGCATCCTCGCGCTGCTGGAACCGAAATCCCATAATTATGCTTCAGATGTTCTTTACACGAAGGAGATGTAACATTTGTCACACATAAGGTATTTATGATTTTTATTAATATTACAGGTAACTATAGCATCGCTGCTAATTGAATGCTAATGGATAATTTAGAATCCAGCGTCAGAGATTCTGTGGATTAAGATTTGTAAGGGAAATTATTTTTTCCTGCGGAGACTTGTCATTGTATCACGTTTGCAAAGCGTAAAATATATAAGAAGGCAGAAATGCATGTGTGATGTAAAAATCGGGGCGATATGTTCTTTCGACACTTTTAAGTAATGGATTTTTTCTTGCTTTTTCTCATCTATATGTTCAGCAGATGCCACAAGAATTCACCAAGCTCGGCTGTTTACCATCACGAGCAGTGTGCACATGGAATGTGTTTTTTCCAGTCTTTGACAATATAATCAATAATAATATTACTCGTCTATATTACCATGCCTGTGATAGCCAAATTGATCAGCCTAATCACCTGCAACTCTGCTCACGGGAACTCATAAACTCAGGAATATTGATAATTTTTCTGGAGTTTGAACACTGATTAAATCCAATGTTATATAATACCTGAAAGCACGGTTGTTGAGGATCAGGATTTTTTTAGTATTACATCGTGTAGTTCAAAGGAAAACAACTGCCAAACATCGACCTATAGGTGCCAATTACACGCCTTTCACTGCCATAACCTCTCAGAATCTCAGTATTAACAGGTCCGAACAATTGCGTGTTATAAACACTGACAGTTGTAAAAACAAATTGTACGTTTCTGCCACCGAAAAATCTTAATGATGTTCGAAAAGCCATATGTCCGGATATCACTACAACTCGCTGGTCATTCTACCACATTTTACGAAATTCTGGTCATAAAAGGAGTGCATGACACGTACACATATACATAGATCTTTACATTAAATGAAAGTATATATTGTACTCATTTTTTAAATTAATTTAAACTGATATTTTTTTGCAAGTATAAAATTAGGCAAGTAATATAATATGTTAATTATCAAAGAGTATAAACTCAATTCAAATCTCAACCACATCACGTGTATGGTGTTGTATCATTTAATACATCCGTTATTTTAAAAATGAAGGGTAAGGGATTCACTGAAAATATTGTAAAAGTAATTATGTCCACGTGTTAAAAGGATTTTCTTTTTAATTGCCAAGGCCATTTATAGCGATTTTTCATTAATGCAATATTTTTATGAGAAAAACAAGTCAGTGCTGTTCCATTCAGGCATTTTTTGTAGCAATGCCCGATAAAAAAAGATTTTAATCATTTTTTTTTATCATAGAATGGAATCCCTGGATCAGGATGAGGTTGACACCCTTAATCAAGCCGCACAGACCGCAAGACAGAGAAGAGCCGAGAATTTCCGAAGACGGAAGGTGGTCTCGGAGGTTTACGATGCAGTTCTGAAAATTGACGCAAGCACGCAGACGGTATTGTATCGACTGAATTTGAATTATGTGAGATTTATGTAAATTCAACAATGAGAATTGTATTGTCATTTGCTATAAGGTTATTGATCAAAAATAACTTTTTGGTCCCATTTGCCATGTAACTTTAAACTACAATTTAGTTATTTTCATACGCAAAAAGTAAAGGCACTTTAATTCTAGCATTCTTTTTTTGTTTTTTATTTTGTTATTAATTCATGTCAAACGTTGCTATATTTAATTTTTTCCATTTGAACTGTATAATTTTTCATTAATATTCTGTATTTTCTATTTGTATTATGTACTTTTCCAATTGCATTCTACTATATATTTTTCCATTTGCATAATTGTATAATTTTCCGGATAGGAAATTTTAAAAACAAACATGTGAAACAACACATGTATGTGTGTTTGTGGAAAACTGATGTGCCTATATGGCAGTTCTAGGTTTTTCAAAAGTAGTTCAAACGACAAGATCAAGATTAAGAAATGTTTTAATCATAGAAAGATCATTTCACAAGGAAAGCCCATGTGAAACAATGACTCTGCTATTACCAACAATTCAGAAAATATGGAAAAGGAAGCTTTTCAAAAAGTAGGTCATACTCCAGAAATAATATACATATCAAAGGAAAGGTCTCGTCACAAAGAATGCAGAAATGACATATGATGACCATAGAAGCTACCGTTCAAAACTTATAAGCAAGGGTATTTTTTTTAAATGAAGGTCAAACTCTTGGGGTCAAGATCCTGAAGTAAAAAGTGTTAATTTATCCAAAGAAATAGGTCTTATCACAAGGCATACAAAAGTGATATATGACATTCATATCTATCACCGTTCAAAATCTATAGCCAATGTACGTGTTAAGAGTAGGTCAAATACAAAGGTCAAGATCGAAAAGTAAGAAAAAAAAGGTGGTAGTCAAAGGAAGTTCTAATACATGAAATAAAAATGTGAAATATAAAGGTCCAGCCATTCAGAACTTACACCCAAGGTTGAAGTATAAGTACATTTTTACAGAGGTACGTTAAACATAAAGGTCAAGAGGTTAGATATATCGCATCGTCTCAAGCCATGGTCCGGAGTCCGCATACAGCTTTCTCCTACCCGTGGCTGCTTGATTACAAAAAGTGTCGTAAACTCGTAATCTTGAATATAATTTACACATCGCTACTGTGACGTCATATTCAGTCAACGACAAGTTTTGTTTCCATCGCAATTGAAATCAACAAATTACATCAGCAGTATTTCGTACTCTGCGACTGGGCATTGAAAGGTCGCATGAAAGGTCAATTCCCGACTATGCTTTACTCGCATTGGTCAATACTCTAAATAAGCTACCGTACGAGATATTCTCGTCTCATGCAATCACGGCCAGAATGGGAGAGGATCGTACATTTTGGTCGGGGTTTGCGACGATGAATATGTTAATACCAAAAGAAAGGTTTTGTTACAAGGAAAACACACGTGAAAATAGTGCAATTCTCAGTTAACCTTTGACTTTCAGTAAGGCGTGGTATTCTCGACGTTACATAATTAGCGTCTGAAAATTACGAAGCCTTTCATTCACTGTTGAAAAATAGATTCCAGCGAATGTCAACGAGTGTATGAATGATCCAATGATAATGTTTCGTATGGCAAAGAGGTGGGGCTTAAATCGTTTCCTCGTTGTCAACAACAATTTAAAGTTGCTGATGCTATTTATTTCTTAACCAATGAGAATCTATTTGAGAGACGTTAATTAATAGTGTGACTAGTGTCGAGAAATTCACGCCCTACTGAAAGTCCAAAGTTGACTGAGAATCGTACTATGAAGGCCTTAGAGTTTTTTTTTTCAGAATGTTAATGCGGCTCTGGACAGGTTATACTTTTTATTTTTCAAAATGTATTTATGAATTAAACTATGCATTTGTTTTTATTCTGCTGACAGATGAAGGAAAAAGAAGACCCAAGTCAGAATAGACTACATAGAACTTCCCAAGGACTCTTGTGTTTTACATTATTCGTTACCTTGGTGACCAATGTAACAAACATTCGGAAGTACGGTCATCAGGATGATTCTTACTACACGGGACTAATGTTGAACTGTTTGTGTGTGTGTCTGCAAGTGATATCGTTATTCGCTGCCCTGTGTCAGTGTCTTAAGGAATTTATGATTTATGAAGTACCTATTTTAATGACAACTCTAAACAAGACTATACTGAAACTATCTGCCATAATCGTTTTAATACAGATTTTTCTATGGATTTGAAAACCTCAAGTGCATTTTCTTCTCGCTAGTTAAGGATTTGATTGGTGAAACTATATCGTATGACGTGTTAATTACATAAGTGCTTTGATGTACAAGTTCACGTGCTATTAGGCTATTTAGAGTAGTGTAAAACATTGGTTTAATATAGATTTAAAGTGTTGATTTCAACAATAATTAAAGATTTTTTCTTTGAGTTGCTTTATATGAGAGAAGACGATTGCAACATTGCTGGAAAAATATTTTTCATATCAACAATACGTTGCATTGGAGATGCCACATATTTGGATAAACTACAAGTATGTTGTAGCATTATACCAACATCAGTTACATGTGGATGTGTGTTCGAAGTTATCAGTATTTGAAGAGATTCTTCCACTCCTTCGTATAAATGCCAATGTGTCTGAGGTTTATGATATATATGTTGGAGTTTGTTAGAAATACTCAATTTAATAATGTCAGTGTATCACGCCAGATTTTATGTATGTTTTAATTGATTGGTACTGTACAGTGCCAACCAAATCTTGTACAGCAAAATGAGATAGGCCTTATGCTCTAAGATCAGATGACTGTTTGGTTTATATGATGTATCTGGGGTTTTTTTTCTCGTTATTCTATCATATCTATTTTTACTTTTTTCCTCTTTTCATAGCGAATTCAATTATATGAAAATTTATTCTTTAAAGCATAAACTGTGTACAACATGATTCTATTATGCTCTGGTCACTTTTATACAATCTCTCTCAAGCTAACCTTGCATTCAGATTTTAGTTAACCTGAGGCATGACCTTTGGGCAGAGGTGGGTCACAATTTTACATGGGAATATAAAGGAAAATGTTTATAAAAGCTTCTTTTAATATCCAAATTTTCTAAACAAAAGTACGCATGCATTTCCATGGAGTTTAAATAAATAATGACCATTAGGTCGAGATCACGGAAGGGGTCACAATCAGTTTTCAAGGGTTTAAATTTAAAGCACTTTTAGGTAGGTAAGGTTTCTTATTAGTGACTCCCTGGTACGAGGGTTACGACATTTAGCAATAGGTTTTAAACAGTATATACATGTACATGTATCAACTTACATTTACAAAACCAGGAGCTATGCTCACGATCTGTAAAACTACTCTCAGCATAAATTAAATGATTATAGGTGTGTTTCTGAAACACTGATGCCCTCGTATGACAATTTAGCTTTACAGCAAAGGTTAATTTTCTCGATGCAAGTTAGACTTCAAGGTGAAGGAATAGAGATTAAAAATCGTTGTTACCCAAGGAAAGGACTTTTCTCGATGAATACACTTGTGAAATAAGAAAGCACAAGCATCAATCATTCAAACATTATGGTTAAGGTTAAATATTTTTTAAAAGTGGATCGAACTCCCATGTCAAGGTCAAATGGTAAAAACTTGTCGTTTTTTTTCTACGGTCAAAGGCAAAATTATTGGTATCCAAAGTAAGGTCTTGTCACAAGGAATACACCTGTGAAATACCTGTACATGTATTAAGCCCTGGTACTACGTGTAACTGTTTCAAAAGTGTTATAGCCATGAAGATTAACTATTTCTTTTTAAATTTGACGAACTCTAAGGTCAATGTCAAAAATATTTATACCGTTGGAAAGGTCGTGCAGTGATAAACACACAAGTGAAAACATTTGCATCAACTATTCAATAGTAATGGTCAAGGTTAAAGTTTGTAAATTTTTGGAAAAGTGTACCACATTTCTTGATGAAGGTCAAGAGGTCAAATATGTTAATAACAAAAAAGGTCTTATCACAAGGACTATACATGTAAAGTACATGTATGAAAGCCATAGCGCCATCCAATCAAAAGATATACATGTAGGCAATCTAAGGTAAATGTATACAAATGTATGCAGAAAAACAGATAGACAGATTGAGGTACGGGGAAAATACTCTTTACCCCCGAATCTTCGATTTTGGGGGTATAGACACCGTTTGTGTAAAACAAAGACCTATTGAAAATTAATTTGAATTGTATCACATACATGTACCTCACTTTGCACAAGGAATATGTACAGGAAATCGTCACTACGGTCTTATGTATTAACTTTTTAAAAAGACAATTTAATTTGATTTGAAAACATCAAGTTTCCTAATATTTTTCACTCCAATATTTATTTGAATAATAAATATATGCGCATACAATCAATTTATAAACGTAATCGGGTTTTTTGCCTCCATCACGAAGAAAATACGAACAAGGCCATGGTGTTTGGGTACCCCCCCACCCTTTTAATGTAACCTTTGTTTATTATTGAAAAATAAGTACTGATTATGTAACATTTGAAACAAACATGGGCCTCTGTTGACCCAATCTCCGTGCAACAGAAGATAAAAGTACTATGAGTGGCTGTATTGGTTAAGGATAATTTTCCTGTTGACCAAAGAAAGCTACCATTGTAATGCATCCGTTGCGGATGTGAAAAGTAACAATACTTGCTTGTTTACGTGCATAGGTCACAGGGATGAATTTATCTTGTCAGTTAATCCCAAGTACAGAAACAGAAAAGGTTGGCAAAATGATTCTCTCTCAAGTTCACCTTCCATTGTGTTTGGGTAAGTCTTTTTGATATTTATACTTGAAAAAAAAAATTAAATATAGTTGACATGTAGTTTAGTCTGCTTCTGTGTGTATTAAACGTAATTTTTCCTGAGGATTGGTGTGATTATTATTTTTCCCGTAATTTTTGTTTTTCCGCGTTTTTTTTTGGGGGGGGGGGGTGTTTTTGTTTTGATTTTTTTAATATCAATGTTAGGTTCAAATTCTTTTTTTGTTCTAATTTTCTTTTCTAAATTATTTTTTTTTCGAAATAAAATTCTAACTTAACCCCATTCTCTTCTTAAATTTTAGGGATGATTCTTTTGATGTGGCCAGCAACTCCACATGGATGCAGACACACAAATCGCAAACGCGAGGACCGGGGCTTAAAAGAATGTCTGTCCCATTGGGGAGTCCAAACTGTCACCAACGTCATCGATATACAGAAGACATTGTTTGATGCCAACTTAACGCATGCCTGTCGGTGAGTAATCTCCAATGTATTGAAAATGACTGGATTTTTTTTAATGACTTACATTAAGGATTATACATTATGTCTGTCTCTTTGCTTGTTTGTTTTACGAACTAAGTTTGTCAGCTATCTCTTCTATATTTGATCAAAGTGTTGACGTCAAACGTCAAATTACCCTCCCCCTTTCCCTCCCCATCCAAACTCAGCGTTAACGGCAAATAAAAGAAATTAAGATCTGTAAATGCAAATTGATACCGAGATTATTATCTCTAAAACTAATTTTATTTTATCTTTTTAAAGAGCTGATGCTCTAGACTCGGCTAAGCAGTGTGTTACCACCGTGCCTGTGGACAAATGTCCGTCTGTTCTCCTGTTCTGGCACCACCTCATCGGTCCACTTAATCAGGCCTGCCAGAACATCAAAGGTACCTTAACCTAATCTGAAAGCTTGGTACTCTAATTAAAAGCTAGCTTTAAAAATGTTTAATTAAATAAGACAAATTTAAATTTTACTCTATAATTTTCTTCTTTCTTTGAACAGTTAGCATGCTACGATCGATGTTTTTGTCTTTCCAGAGTTTACAAATTCGTTAGTGTGCATTGATAGAAAGAGACTGACATTATGCCAAGGCATTACCCACAGCATAGGTCCATATAGCAGGAGGAGAAGGGATAACGAGAGAAACTGCCAGTAAGAATTTAAGGTTGATTGGCCCATCTGATAAGACAGATAACTCTCATTGGAATAAATGATTGTTATTCCCTTATTTAATATCAAGTTGCAAAGGTGATTTCTGCAGATTTTGCGCCGAAATTAAGGTCTGCTGATATTCTAGTTTTTATTTATTTATTCATTTTTTCTGCAAAGTCATTATTCATACACATATAAATGAGAATGATGAAACTATATTCTCTTCTGTGTCATTTGTTTTGAAAACAGTATTCTGTTAATATTTTCAGGGCCATCTCAGAGTATCAAACATGTATGAATCAGATATTACAGAAAGGCCCCGACTGCGAAGGTGATGCCGTAAAACCTCTTGTAAACGCCCTAGGCCTCCATCTTCTTCATCTCGGCGTGTATTACGAGTGTGCTCAAGGTATATATGAAGAAAAGAGTGACAGTGGAAAAAGGTCCCTATAAAACATGTACTTTAATTTGTAATTGTCTTCCGGGATCCTTTTACAGTGCGCACAGTGCACTGACTAACATCGGTGCAATGTCAAAAATATCGTCTACATTCTCATAGATATACTTAAATAATTCATTTAATTAGCTTTAGTTGTTGACAGTGTCGTAATATTTGCAAAAAAAAAAATAGTGTATACATATATTTAATTTTTTTATCATGCAGATTACCCTTTCACTTTGCCACCAGAAGATACTTTAAATGGTACGTAAAATAAGACATATACCTTCATCTGCACATGCATTGATAGCCAGATATTATAAAACTGTCAAACTTTCATCATAAAACGGGAAACGTACGAAGTTTGACAGTTCAATTAAGAGGCAATTAACGTTTGTAACCTTAAATTCAGGAATCACAGAGAACAACTGTAAATTTAAGTCTAGTTTTGTATTTGATCAGACACTTCTCTTGATGTCCCCTTGAATGGAAAAGGGGGTACAGAAAGTTGGACAATATTAAAATTTTCATATGCTCTTCTAATTTTAATTTATAAAATTCAGAAATATTGACAAAAAGCATTATCAGTTGTCTGCAGCATTTTAATTGGAATAGGATGGGTCGGATGGCTTATTTCTAAGATTTATACTAGGCAGAATGATCTATTTATAATATTGGGACCAGGCTATATTATGACAAATATTTCATTGACATCACACATTTTGATTAAGTACAAGTTTATGACACTTCAATCCTCTCTCTTTTCTAGGCCTTCCTTTTGACACACCACTAGGATTTGACTCCGATTTCTTTGACTGAAGTTTTCTCACTCAAGATCTAATCAGACATTACTGGGCCACACTACCACATTATATGGCCTCCTGTTCAGAAGACCCACCATCTGTCACCGAGAAAAACTAACTTATTGATCTGTCAACCATTTGAACCATGGTATTCATTCACAACAGAAAGCAATCAATTTGTGAAAGATACTGATCTAGCTGCAGCATGGGTTTGAAAGAAAGAAAAACATTTTCCCTCTTTTAAACATTTTAATGTTGTATACATTGTATAATTTTGACTAGGTATAACATTATAAACATAAACAATATTATAACATATATTTTAAATTAATGCAAGCATTATGACCTTTTTTTTCAAAGAACACAGTCATACAGCATAATAGGAAAAAATTCACGCAAGTCTGTTCAATAAGAAAACCCAGATTGGTTTGTACCTAGAAGTGAATGCTTTCAAGAAAATCAGTTAAGATGTCCAGTTAAATATACACTTGTGCAACAAATATGCAGATTCACAAACTTCAAAAGTTTAAGTAAAAGGGAACAGTTTAAATTGCATTCAGAATATTGCACAAAGACAATAATATCATTTTTATAGCAAATATCGTAAATCTTTGGTTAAAAGCAGTTCCATGTGTAGTACTTTTAATAACATCAATAAATGAATGATTGAATGCAAGTATTCTTTTTAATCTACATAACATGTATAAAAATCTATACTGTAATGAAAAGCATTTTAAAGTAAATGTTTAATTTTGCAAGCATTACATGTAAAATGTGGCAAATTTGGCACAAAAACTCAATCACTTTAATATCAATCTACATATATGTATGATAAATAATGCTGCTTCCAATTTTTTTTTCTTTACATGTTGCACAACTGCTTGGTATCATAAAACTGCAAACAACCTAGAAATGCTTCAAGGTTTGATAAATTGTACAATAAACAAACCAAGGCACAAACTTTTGTAGAGTACTGTACATAAATATAATATAAAGCAAGCACTTCCACATTTACATATCGTCTGGTACACAGTTTTTGGAATGGTTGTCAATGTTTTTGTGTGCCAACTAGTCTGTTCCATTTATTTGCTTGTAAAAATGGATCAATTTTGTATTCTCATGACACAAATAAATAATCTACTGATATAGATGTGTAATCAATGTCTTTTTGTGTTCCCCTTCTCTCTTCATATGAACTGGGTCAGGTGGGACGATTTCATACCCCTCCAGATCCTACACTTTAGTCTGAAGTGTGCCCCTATGGCTAGGGATTGACCTTTGTGTACTCGGCCAGCTCTGAACTACTTTCTAACCTGCAGTCCTTGGAACCCATGAGTGGACAGTTGAATTTCTTCGAATGCATGACGGCCAACTTCACCTATAAAACAAAGTAAAAGAACACTTGCAGAAATTCTCCTTGTACATGTATGTATGTATATTAGGCAGTAAAACATCATGTGAGGCTCATACACCACATTTGAGCTATGAAAAGAAATGCTTTTGCAGAAGATTGTGTAGGGTTTATGTCCTTGACCATTCAGTGACAAATGCGGTCAGTTACTTACCAAAAGAGAAGAGGGCTTGTTTAGATCGAACCCTGACCACAGTAGAGGTGTCAGTCTGACAAAGGTACGATAGCTGCTCTATACTCTCTGAGGCCTACAACATGGAAATGGAAAACAAAATCAGTCTACTGCAAGGTACTATTGCATTTTATTTACTGTGAAATCCGTAATACTTTGTGGGGTTTTATTTTCGTTGTTTTCGGGGTATGAAGAGATCCACTAATTCATGTTCATCACGAAATATAAAATTTCATATACACAACTTCTGAAATATTCTTCATCCATGAAATTAAATCCCCAAGAACCAACATTTTTCCTCAAACAATGAATTTAACCCCATGAGAATGAGATTTTACAGTAATACATGTATAGGGAAGCTTTGAGGCCTACAACATTGATATGTAGAACAAATCGGTCTAAGTTGTGAAAACAATATAATATCCTGCAAGTAATTTTTCCTGACATTGTGCATTAGACCTACCTCTAGTTTACCCAGGGCTTCACAAGCTCCCGCCCTAATCTCTGGTGTCTTATCCTCCAAACCCTCCACAAACACCAGCAAGGCCTACAAAACAAAGACAACCAATATCTATCAACATGACATCTTAGAATTAAAAGGATTAGGCCAGGTAAAATTAATCTTTAGATTCTCATCCTAATTTGCTAAAAAATTGGGGCGGGTGGGCGGATTTTATTTTTTATTTTTTATAATTGTTAATTTATATATATAGGCCTAAGTATCAACAAAACAATGGACGCCCCGTACACATTTTTTTTTTCATTACCTTAATGCAAATATGAATAGATTTAATTCTTTTCATATTCTTTTAAATATTTAAAGAAAATTTTTGCTTTAAAAATTAAATATTTATTGTTAATTAACAAATTATCAAGTACACATTATACGGCACACCCTGAACAAAATGAGGTAGGGATACCAATAAATTAATTGTGTACGTATGCGTGACTTCTTATTTTCCAAAATCTATATAAATGTTCTAATAATTATTCTACTGAAAAATCTAGGCCTTCTCTTAAGTCTATCTACGATGTTGTAGATTTTTTTTTATTTCAAAGCAAATTCACACAGCTGGAGATCGTTATATATAACTTGACCAGGTGTCATTTTCCTCGTCTATTTTTACTTAGTTACAATCTCTCTACATACTTGTTCCTGCCAGTGATGGTATCTATATGTGTTTATGCTATTTTTTCTTCTCTGCCTTCTCTATACTGACAAATTATCTTTTCCTTACACATTTAAACTGCTTTTATTGCCGATTTTTCTCCATTCTTCACATGGCGTTTTTGCTATAAATAGCGACACGCGACTTTTAATACAGACGGGAGATAACTCTTAAACTTTGAACCAAATTCTTACTGAATAAAAATACATAAAAATACCCAAAATAAAATAAAAACATCGGGGCGGGACATTTTGAGAGGGGCGGGCGGGGATGAGAATCTAAAGATTAATTTTATATGGCCTTAACATGGATTTTTTTTTTAAATTAGCAGTAAATTTTCTTGTTTGATAAGAAATTGAGTATTGTTAAAGACCCACAAAACAATTAAGGCACTAATTTCTATAAACATTATATTTCAAAAGTCAAAATGATTTAGACAATTTTTTTTATCAATGCGCAGTAAATTTTCTTGAAATTGAGAATGGTTATAAGGCTCATTAGTCATGACGTATGAGGTCTACATTACCTTGTCCCTGAACTCTTTTGTTCTTGCGATGTCTTCCAAATAGGACTCTGCAAACCAATAAAGCGTGACATTGATTACTTCCGAATGGCATTATTTAGTCAATATTTACGCCTACGACAAAGTCTGGCCAAACCAATGACCACAAACAGTGAATTCGTTAACCACTTGGTAATGGAGATATTATTCATACCATAAATATGGACATCATTTATCTCTCAATAGAAATATCATTCATATTCCATAAACTAGCTGGTATACAAATACTATAATGGTTACCAATACATTTGCACAATTTAGAAATGTTCTAATTATCTCCCTTTATAGTGTGACAAGTCTGAATTAAAATAAGGAATTTTTTGAAGAGCACTAAAACCTTTGAGAAAGGAATTTTCATAATATAAACCAAATCAAATATAAATGATGAAAAGAAGATCAACATCAGTCAAACATCTATACATGTACGTTTAACTTGATATAACACAACTTTACAGAGCTCTTCAAAGGGTTGGAGTTTTAACTCATGAGCACAATGTGAACCACAAGTTAACTTCTACAGATTTCAAGTAATCAAAATCTAGATGATTTGGGATACCAAATATAAACTATATATTATACTCAAACCTAAATACATGTACCTTTTAAATGTTGGGAGCTAACCAATTCTAGATAACAGAAGGTTAAATATCAAAGATGAAACCAAAGCATATATTTTTTAGTCTACACTGCAGTGTGAATTTGGCATTTTCCAAGTATTCAAAAACATTGGTGATCAAGATGCCAAAGTAGAACTTACCTACTGTCCTGGCTACTTCATTACTACCACTAATCAGAAGAGCCCCCATTACTTTGAGGCACGGTGCGGGAGGAAAGGTTCCTTTGAGGGACATCACACATTTGATTATACTCTCTTGTTTCCCAGAACAGAGTTTTTCAATCATTTGCACTAAAATAAACAATGAATTTCTATTAAAACATTATAACATACATTTCATATGTTTATAAATTTTTATTATGTTTTTTTTTATCCCCCAACCCCTCCTGAGGAATTAAGCATCAATTTTCATATAAACAGTGAAGGATTCTTACACTCAGCAGCTACTGCATCTACATTTTGAAGGCCTCCCTCATCTTTGAAGTACTGCAGGAACTGGTGAAGTGTGACAATACATGTGGCCTTGACCTTCTCTGGGTCATAGCTGGGAACATCTAAGATCCTCATTACCAAATGTCTCAACACTAACAATGAAAAAATAAACTTTACAATTCTATCGCCTATAAAAATTGTTGTAATTTCCAGAGTCAATACATGTGCAAGAAATTATCCAAGATGTCAGAGAAGCCAGGATTTAAATAATTTATACAGACCTTTCTTGGGATCTCTGCTGTATTTACTCTGAAGTTGTGCTCCATACTTTTGTTCGAAGGCACCTACGAGTTTCTCTGGGTGAATGTAGAGAACATTTGTGTCCGTGCACCTCACCCAGAATTCACGTAAACTTTTATCATCACTGAGCTCTGCCATGACTGTCAAATTAATAAAATCAGAATTAAATGATCTTAATTCTTTTCCTTTGTTTGAATAGCAATGAGGTAAAAATTACAGATATGTGTATTAATCACTTACTGGCATGAAGATTTATATCGTGTGACTGGGAAATCTTGATTAAATGTTCTATAATCTCAGCTTGCTTTTGTAGTCTGTCCAGAGCATAAATTTCCCTGCATTTTAGTGGTCCAAAACTTCCTAAACTCTACAAAATTATAAACAAAGGCTTCTTTAATTTAAATGATTATTTTTACAGGAAGAGTTATTCCCCTTTACATGCAATTTACCTTTCAAGTTCAAAACTTGAGAAAATTTTATCATTAGAGAAAGAGTTATTTCCCTTTAATACAAATGCGGTTGTAAAAAAAATGATTGGATTGGATGGTTGAAACAAATGTTGTCTTATTTCTTTTTGAGTATTTTTTTTGCAATTTTAATTTTGTTCATTAAATGATGTTGCTTTGTACCTCCAGTAGTCTCTCACAGTAAACCAGATGAAACACGAGGGCTTGATCCACGTGTTCATTTCCAGTGCTGGGAGGAAGAGGACTTGAACCTTCACTGGAACCCAGGTTAGTGTCCTCTGACAACCGCTTGGCCAGTGACTCAATGCCAGAGTCTGCTGTCTTAGCTGTAGACTCAGGACTAGACATCACATTTTCAAAAAGTGTAGACTCCCTAAAACAGAAAATATTTCATTTCATGGAATGGATAAAAGGATCAGAGTTTTCTATGAAGTATCAGCTAGCCTTGTTAGGATGAATTAGGTCAGTCATTATGCATATTCATAACATAAATGTGAAATCTTACTTTGGTGATATTTATGAATTGCCAGTTGCAACACTATTCAAAGTATGCTATGAACTAAAACTTAATCTATCTAAAAACCAAAAATGCTAAGGAAGCAGTTCTGGAAAACTACTTACTGATTTGTCTCCCCTTCCTCTGTCACCTCGGTATCCAGGAAATCGAAAGCACCGAGGGCATCCTGTACAGACACACATATACTGCCTGTCCGAGAACTGCATCTAGACTCCTTCTGTAATCAGAAAAGAGAAACATTACAGGTTCTGCCAAGATATTCTAGTCACATTTAAAATACCTTATTTTTCATATTAACGTGATTTTATGTTTTGCCATTTCAATATACACATTTTGAATAAGGATTAAAGACTGAAATGTATTCAAGGAATTTTTTGATTTATTAACATAGCTAGTACTTACTCGAAGAACTTGTTCCAACATGACCACCACATCTTCTAACTTCTCCAGCTCTCTATACTGCCCATGGTAATCCTCCAGACTGGCACTCAAGCTGTTCAGAGCATCCTCAATGTGGATTGGCTCATCTTTAGTCAACGTGATTCCATGTCCCATAGCCACATTAAAGTGCATATTACCATACGTATCATGAGATCCACTGGACAGAAACTGTGGAATTCTGTTGGGGGTGGGGGAGGCACCCAGCCCAGAGTTTAAGTTCGGTTGTGACACAGTATATCTCTGAGGAATCTGTTGCCTTGGTGGGGCAACAAGTTTTGAAGTCACTGGAGGAGAATGGGGGTTCATGAATTGAGGGGAAGCACCAGGCAAGTACAGGACATTTGATTGGCTGGATAAATGGTTTCCATAGTGATTGGGTGAGGTGTGGGCTGTAGGAGGAGCAGAAGTTCTGAGGATAAAGTTATCGTCTTTTGTTTGTGTCAGACTGACAGGGTTAGAGTATCTTCTCTCAGGTCCCAGGAAGTCACTCTGTGTCTGTAACAATTAAATTGATGGATAAATTAGTAAATTTCTCTTTACCATTTTTTCCTATTTAAACTTTATTTATGTGATACTGGAACAGAATTATAAAATCATTTTATGAGCAACAATTCAGTCTGATTGATGGCCTCTTACCAGTTCTCCATTTAGTGCCATAACAGACACAGGTCTCCTCCGAGGTGCGCTGGGCTGCCGAAGAGGAACATCAAAATAAGGCATTGTCTCCTCCACCCCATCCAAAGGACTGCAAGTAAAGTCAATTAACAAATGAGCTCAAACAATAAACACAGAGAGCTTTCATTTTGCAGCGTTTTTTTTCCTTATATAACTGGTTATATAAAAACGGCACCGTTCCCAATGCCAAAAACGTTATTTTTTCCAAAATGTGACCAAAAATTCCCAATTCAACTGTGAAGCAACAGACTACGATGACATCATATTTTTTTAAAAATGAAACATTGTACAAGTTGACTAATTGTTTCACTTAAGCTTAAATCGAGAAAGTGGTAATTTGGTGGGACGTGTTGTGTAAACAGCGTAGTGTCATACATTTTGACAAATTGAAAGCATGAAAATTTGAAAACATGGGACATTGATAAAAGAATCAATAAGTACTTCCTGTTTATTCTTTAAAACACATAGTTACAGGTAATTAAGTTGGAAGTAACAGGGCTCTCTCACCACTTTTTGGGACTGGGGCCGGGGCCATTCAAATTGGGAAAATTATCATCATTTTGGGAGAAGTTGGATAACCAAAATTCATTAAAAAAATCCTCAAATTTTGCTTTTCTAGCATTTTGTCATCAATTTAACTCTGGTTTTGAATAAACAGTTAAACAGAACAAACATGGGTACATAGGCTATTTATGAAAGTACATTAACTTTGTCATTACTATCTTTGAGTGTTGATAACTGCGGTTATATGTCTTTCTGAGTGACAGTCGCTAGTCAAGTAGTCCCGAATTTCCTCGATCACATGGACAACTTTGCTAACCAATACAGCGCGAGACTGAACATGCTGAAGCGTGGGTATGTTTCTAGGTGCAGCTTACTAATGTTTAAATGAAATGTCTATTTTTGAAACCAATATGATGTTTTTTTGTTGAAACTACATGACAAGATACTCTGCTCTCATAGTTAGTACATATTTTTGTAAAAACAATAACCTGGTTCCCAGAACCAGTTTACGAATGCATTTCGTGCGAACTTTTAAAATAGTAGTACAGTTTCACTTTCATTTGCAAGTGTGTTTCGTTTGGGTTTTTTTGCGATTAAGTTTCATGGACTTTTATTTTTTAATTAATATTTTGCTATGGAAATTGGGAAATTTACACCTTTCTTTTGGGAAAAAAGGTACCTTTTTTGCATTGGGAACGGGGCCGAATATCGGCCCCAGATATAGGGAATCGAGAGCCTTGGAATAGGTGCAAAATTTGTTTTATTTCATTAAATGAGACAAAATTCTCATTGTTCTTCTTTGATGTTATATTTCCCAATTGAACCGGTACTGAAACCTTTCCCAATGGGTGGAAAAAAATTGCTGTTTTGGTTGCAAGCTACTATGATCTCTTTCATTTTGTGTACTTATCTCCAGGTAATTATAACACAGTTATTGAGCAAGCCATTTGTTTATTTGCTTCCAGATAATTACAACACTAGGTTTGAGCAAGCAACCCAAATGTGTACTTATAACACTGAGCTTGAATGTGTACTTACATCAGATAATTATAACACCGAGTTTTAGCAAGCTTACTTACTTCCAGATAATTATAACACTGAGTTTGAGTGGGTGTACTTACTTCCAGATAATTATAACACTGAGTTTGAGTGAGCCATTTGTGTTAATGCTGACTGTCATTAGTTGAGGATTGGCAGAGAACAAGTCCTTGGTTTCACATTTCTTCTGACCAAGAGTCACTGACTTGAGCAGCCTTAACTCAATGCCCTGAAATCATCAATAATGCATTTAAACAATAGAGTACACCTCAAGCTTTCACCATAAAGCCTTTTAACAATCTGCTGAGAAAGTAACAGCATCCAAATTAACTTTTTTCATCATTGTTTATATTCTGGGTCCTTTTATGATTTAGAGTTTTGGGAGGGGGATAGATGATGCTTTATGCAAATTCTCTGCAAATGATGTTCAGATGTTTGGAGACTAAATCTTATATGTTTTAAAGTTGAATGTATAGTTCTTCCTAAAAACATGCATGAAGATAAGTCTATAAGATACATTTACCTTAATATTAAAAACATCGCCAATGACAGCTTTAAACTTGAAATCCGGATTATCCCATCTCTGTGTCCCATTCTTCTCTATTCTGCCTTTTGACTTCCACTTCTGTGTGCCATGTTTGATCACAATTTCAAAAACATCTCCTGGACAAAGTCTGGCAAATCCAGCCATTCCTAAAGAGTAAAATGTTCATACATTACTCATACCAAACAACCTTTAAAGAATTATGCGATTCCAAAAAAGTAAAATCTCTATACATTACTACGCGTTATACCAAGCAACATAATAAGGAATCAAACCATTCTAGAGTAAAATCTCCAGACTTTAGCCACTTAATGAGAATTCATGCCAGTTTTTTTACTTTTCTTTCAAGATAAACAAAATACATGTATGTATATTTTGATTTTTCCTTATGCTTTAATTGATTTGGCTGTAAATTTGTTTCTTGATGGTCAGGGTTACCTTTGAGTTTACAGGAGAAAGTCCCCATCATGGCCTCCAGCTGGGCCTCTATAGAGCACATAGTCTACAAAAAAAAACAAAAATTGCTTATTTCTTTCTGTGCACAGAGTTGCCTCCCTTAACACATCACCATCTTCCTTGAACTATATGTGAACCCGACATCAATTTCATTAAGAAAACAAGTTTTCTTCAAATATTAAAATAATTAAACAGTGGTTCACATCAGGCTTGAGAAGAAGATTTTTGAAAGATAGCTTTGAAGTACTTGAAAAGAAGATATTAAGGTAGAGAGACACCTTGATGGACTGGTCCATAATCATTTCCAGCAGATCAAAGTGTCTTTGGGTATAAATCTACTTAAAAATTTCATGCTTTCTTTGTGGCCCGTTTATATTGGTGCTGGACACACTGATTTCATTAAATTAAGGGTTTTCTTATAAAATCTGATACTACTGAACTTTGCCATCACTAAATCTTTGATCTTTTTCCCCCCAAACATTTTTTTCAATATTAAATATCAAGGAAGTACTTCATAACAATGGACAGATTAAGTTGAAATACCCAGGAAATAAATATTTATCTCTAAGGACAAGTTTACAAACACCACCAACATTTATAATATTAATCTAACACATGTAGTATTTTTTAATGTGTGTAAAAATTGAAAGAAAATTCCTAGAAATGAAAATTATATAAACTGCTTAAAATTACAGTACCAGGTACCGGTACTTTCACTCTACAAACCCTACATTTCTTTCAGGAAAACAATAAAAAAAAAGAAAACTTTATTCTTTCTTCCTTAATTTTGCTGTCTTCCTTCAAATATTAAAATAATTCAAATAAAATGTCCTATCTGTAATACACGGCAATGAAAATGAATTTATTTTTGATGTAGCAGTTGAGTGAAATATGACCAAGAAATGTGACTGTGACACTCTGAATGATGTATGCTTGTCATTTTTACTGTTTCTTTGAAGCTGTGCTTTACTCTAAACAAAAAATTTTGACACAAATGTCCACCATGATTTACTACTTAAAGATTTTCCAGGTTAAAGCAGGCAAGAGTACAATAAAACATGACAACTGCTCCATGTTTTATTGCTCTGTTTCTTCCAAAAACTGAAAAATCTTTAAAAGAAAACAATGTCCGACTCTATTGATTAATTTCCATTGGACCACTATTAATGTCCACTATAAAGGCTATTCCAGCCAAGCCATACTAAATTTTCTATCTTAATCAATGATGCAGTATAAGATAAGAAGAGTGCAATATTTCACCTGGGAGCACTCCTTGAGCCCATATCGCACTCTCTCCATCGAGTCTTTCTTTCGGTGGGGTGACACAATGAATGCTCTCTGCATTGTTCTGGTGCCTGAAAAAAATATAACTGAATTAAATTCACAATGCAACTTTACATATATATAATCCAGACACATATTTTTTATACAAAAAAAAGACTTTACTGAAAACAAAGAACAGGGATAAATGACTTCAACAGACTGATAGTGAACATACTCAGTATCCATAATATTATTTTTTAAAGCAAATTAACACATACTAGTAATCCAATCAACTGTGAACTCACCCTCTCTCATCTGTTGCTGAACACGGTAATGGTCATGGAGTTCCTCTATCTGTAATTTATAATTTATACATGTATAAAGCATATTACAAGTACATTAGAATACATCTCTCTCTCTCTCTCTCTCTCTCTCTCTCTCTCCTGTGTATCTATATATTATAATGTAGTATATGTTTCTTTTTTTTTTACCTTGGCCAGATGGAATTCTAATCTCTTCATGTACCTCTCGGCAGCTTTGATTTGCTATAGAAAAAAAGGATGATTAGATCAGAACGGGGAACAAATTATATGCAAATAGTTAGTCTTCATTTAGAAATTCTAGGTTCTCATATACATATCCAGATATGTTTTGAATTTTATACGCTGTACTACTAATAAGACATTTTAATATAGGAAACAACAGATCTTTTCACTGCTAATTTAATTGACTCAATTTTATTTTGGTCATACATTTCTTTGGATATAAAAAAGATCATACAATACAAATGGTGAATTTACATATATGAATTGTAGCTAAACTGATGAATTACATCTGCATGCTACTGTTCATAAATATTCCATAGGGCACAACTGACTTAATTCTTTTGAAACATTATTTTTTTCTTCAGTTGTATAAGACGTATACAGATGTGGCATTTAACCGCCAAGAAGTTTAATATAGATGGAATAAGTGACATTTCTCCCAAATTATTTTGGCTTATTAACAAAGGAAGCCATCATTCTTTTATTTTTCCCTGCGGGCCTTTCTGTTTGTCAGTTTGAAAATTTTAAGGAGTTGCCATATAAAAGTGTAATTTGGATTGGAAAACAAGGTTGCACTGCTTGTCCCAAAATAATGATAAATAGCCCATCTCCATAAAATTTGGTAGTTAAGTTGAAAGTAAAAATTTTCTCTTTGTGTATTGGTATTTGTTTACAGTGAAGATCTAAGATAGGGGGACCTTTTGGTTTGAAGTGTTAGAAAAGATACATTAGAAATGCCACACCAATTACTTGTTGTGAAAAGATGGAAACTTTTAAATAATATATCTAATTTTCATGAAATTGCCATGCACTCATTTCTGAGTCACATTCATGAATCACAGTATATGCATTACTGCTTGCATTGTACTATAACAATATAAATTATCCCTATACCCATTCCTTCCATCTTAGATAAATGTGGGAGAGTTTCAAGACATAACAATTAACAGGAACATGGAAATAACACATCTAATACTAAAATGCAAAAAAATTTAATTCTATGCCTTCAATATGATTATGATCCTGGATAAATATTTGTAATTAAAATTTATCTTATTCTACATACATGCCCCAGCCCTTTAAAATAAAAATACTCCCATATAACCTCCTTCAAAAACTAAGTTAAAATAAACCATCACAAATACTTCACTCTTAAGAAGGTTATATAAGGATCACTTTAATTATGTTAAGATATAGTTCCTACTTCTAGATCAGAGTGGGCCAACTGTGTAATCAGTCTATATTGATCCTTATAATGACGTAGGCTCACATGTCACTCATGTAGGTTTCTCTGAGGGTCTAACAAACCCCTCAGTACTATAACATCACTTATTGATCATTACACAGTAATAATGCCTACCATCTGCAGGGAAAAACTAATAACAGAAAACGCACCATTCCAACACACAGCTGATGTTTTAGCAACGCAAACTTACGACCAAACACAAATAAACAGAAAGTCAGGTGTAAAACAGCAACATTTTCTTTCAAGTTTTTGTACATTATATCATTTATATGAGCTGTATTTTTTGTATATTGCTTCATGTTCAAGAAAAAAAAACATTTTCAGGAAATAACTTTACCACATTGCAAAGTGCAAACATTGACACAAAAAGTGCTATAATGGTCATGCAGATGCACATCGTTAGAATACTTTAATTAACAAAACTCATGCTGGATAAGGGTCTCTTCCCCATTTGTTACAACTCACAACCACAAAGTTACACTCAATATAGGAACATATCACCAACACATTGTGTCTAATTACCTTGTCTGTCTCCAATAATCTTCCCTAAAGAGTTCAATTTAATTAAAATTTTAATTTCAGTCATTATACTTATAGATGTTAAATGAAAATCAGTGTATTAGGTAGATTTTCCAAAAAAAATACAGTAAAACCCACTTATACCGAACATGGTTATAATGAATTTATGTTTGTAGGGAAGTGATTTTCATTCCCTTAGGGTTTAATATTATCATGAGCTTAACAGATATACCATTACATTTATACATGTATCAAAGCAAAATTTTATGTCCCCAGTACTTCACAATAAGTATGTTTTATTTTATATGGTACTTTGAGAGTAAATTCACATTTGTACATTGAAGAAAATTCATCATTATTGGAATTCAAATTTTTCCCTGTAATTAATTGTGCTTCAGAAGAAAATTAATTGAATAAAGTAATTAAAATTAATTACATTTTTCAAATTTTAATTTGTATTTGAGCCCTGTAATTGAATGTATTTAAATACATTTCAAAAAAGGTCATGTATTTTCAATTACTTTTCAATTACATTTCAATTACTTTTTTTCAAAATGAAAGTTTATATTTAAAAAGGTGTCTTCTACTGATACATAGTTTTATACTGGTGGGTTTATATTACTTATTCCCATGTTTAATAAATCTCAGTTCTCCCTGTTCCCACTAGCAAATAACAATTATTATTTAGAAGTTAATTTGTTTTACAGCAATTTGGACCCCCTTTTAGATTTACCTGTATTCTATTCATTTTAAGATAGAAAATAATGAATTGATAGATATTATGTATTTCCTTCAAAAATATGGATTTGTTTTTATACACCGTGTAGCATAGGATTGTGTTTTACAATAATAATGTTTAATTTGTTTATACAGTGTGTAACTGGTAAAGGTCAATTTTGTCTCTTAATGTTTAATTTGTTTATACAGTGTGTCACACTCATTATATCTTTTTGACCAGGTGTGAACCCCTTCATACCCACGTGAATGCCTGAAGTAATTGAAATGTATTTAATTACATTTGTCAAAGTAATTGAAAGTAATTAATTACTTTTGAAAAAATCAATGTAATTGTAATTGCAAGTAATTGACAAAATTATCAATGTATTTGAAAGTAATTAATTACATTTCAAAGTAATTGACCCCAAGCCTGCTTTAGAATTTATTTCAAAGGGGAACTGTTACTCTTGGACCAAGGAAGAAAGGTATGTATAAACAAATGTCAATTTGGACCTGGTTTGGTATTAGTTTAGGTGTTGGATTTGGTGTTTTGATGTAGATAGGATTTTCTTACTTGAGATGTGGTGGTCTGGTCAACAGTTCTGGAATGTAGTGCCTCAATATCTTCCCTTGTGGCCTGGATAAATTCTCTGTAAAAAACAAGAAATGTGAAACTCTTGAGCAATGACCATGCATACTTAAAAAAGCTCCTTCATTTGTCATACTGTAAAAATGCTGACAATATTTAACATCAGTGCAAATTATTGTTTTAGTTGTAGGGAGAAACAAACTCTGACATGAAACTGGAAATCTCTAAATAGATTAGCAATACAAACTTCTTTTTATGCAACAATTTTGACCCAATCGCTACACATTTAATGAAAATGTATCAACTCAAATGCCACTGATGAAAAGAGCAGGGTTGTCTGGCAATGCATAAGACCCGGGGCCAGGGAATTTCTACACCTATACTTTTATCATGTTATCCCCCATTTATTCTGGTGTTCCCTCCCTTTGCATGTACCCTCTCTTAGGAGAGGAACCCATGACTTTTCAACTTTTTAATGCCCTGTTATTTCAAAACCTTAGGGATGATTCTAAAATTGGGTTTTATTTCTGGACATTCATGTTACATGTAAAGCCTTGATTCTATCAGAAACATGTCTCCATCCTTTATACCACTTAAAAAAAACAAGTAAACGCTGTCAAAAAGAGACATTAATTGCCTCCTTTTAAAAACAACATGATGATGACAAGAAAATAGAAACATTTTCTGCTACACTCTGCTAGTCGACTTGTTTATACAAGCGTCTTATTTCAGGAGGAAGAAACCTAGATTTTTTTCTAAATGACTAATGCTCATTCAAAAATCAAGATCACGCGAACCCAGGAAGATTCTATCGTGAGTCACTTTTCTGCAGTTTTCAGATTTTTAACATATATTATATGATTATAATGACATACACTGATGACTTATGACTGGATTCTTAAATACAATGCATGTCGATTATTATAAGCCCCTAAGTAGATGATTTCAGATAATAAGGGATTTTTAATTTCTCTTTGACAATGATGAGCTTAAGATATTGGACTTCTAAACATCTGGGACATCTGCTCTGCTAAAGGCAAACTTGTACATTGTACAGATGGGAAATATATTTGTGGTCCCTTTAATTTTCCCTAAACTCAACTCAAGACTAAAGAACTCTCAATTCAACATGTCATTATTATGTATTCAATGTATGTATTCAACTTCTTGTAGTAAAATATCATATCAGCATTCCATCCATTAAAAGGTATTGTATATTTAATATCATAATATTTTCCTTTCCATAATGAGCATTACATAACTATGATATATTACTGAATAATGTGTAGCCTTCAGTCATACTATATTTATAAGTACATGATCTATTTCAAGGACTGTTTCAATGATACATTCCATGGTGGGTAGGCTATATTTACAATAACCTAAAAATATACGGGCGACCCCCTTCACGTCAAGATCACAGGAGCCAGGTATATATTTCACACGAAACAAGCCATCCCCATTACCTACAAAATCTGATGATGAATTGACCAACCCATTACTCAGGCATGCCTCTTCAATTTTAACCCTTTCTATTTCCACTCCCAGAAGTAAATCTGAACTTTTGATGGTTTTTGATCCCATATCATAAGTGTATCTGTACTTTTGAAGTTTTTGATTGCACGTCATATGTCAATACTGTTGAACTTTTCCATGCATTTACCAGGTAAATACAGGTAAAGTGATGATACTCATCCTGGGTCAACACATATTTCGAATTCCGATGTACTTCAAACATATACACTAAAGTTTCAGTGTTGGGTCAGAAAAAACACTGGCTCATTTACTGTAGCTAATTATGTACCTCCCTCTAGCCATTTGTCACATTGTAAAAGCACATTGTCACCGACCCCATTTCCTGTTAGATTTTAGGATTAATTTAACATCTATAAAAATTTTAGACCTACCACTAAGAAAATACATAAATTAAATCATTGGTAATAGTTATTGCTCTATAATATGTTTTTTATTTCATTTATACATTTTTAAAACATTATTTTTTTTTTACCAACAAAATAAAAGACACTATAAATAAGACACACCCATCATCATAAATGCTACTCAATACAATTATGTTCATAACAGAAGAAATAGACATGATTACGATTGAAAAAAAAAATACAGATTAATGTAAACTTGATGGAATTCAGGTTAAGTACTGTGTAAATAAAGTCATAATTCAATATTGTTGTGTATTAGATATCTGGGTTAATATCTATGCTTGCCTACCTAAATTAATACCCTAGGACTTCCTATCCTTTGATGTTAAATTTTGCACTACTATGTAATATGAGAGAAAATAAAATATTTGCATAATTTGCAAAACAAATATTTTCCCTTCTCTTCTACAATCATTTTTAAGTGTATTAACCTTTTCCATACATTGTGTATATAATATGTACTTGACAAAAAAAAACAAATTTACTCAGTTTTTGTGACTGCTTACTGAAAACTTTATCATCATGAAGTTTTAATTACTGTTTTGATATGCACATTAATTTTAATGTCATAAAAGATTTATCTTCCAAATCTTTAATGTTGACATTTTAAAATATTTGCAGGTAAATTCTATTCATGTAACAGAAAATTCAGCTTAATTTTGATTTTGAATGTAATATTTAGTGAAAAATGGATTAGGCACATAAGCATTGCCTAAATAAGCCCTCTCCACAATTTTTGCTTAGCATATAGAAATACACCAAATCAATATTTTTACATTAACTTCATACCTTATTCCATTTTTAACACTCTCAAACATCAGTATAGTCCGGTTGGGTCTTGGTACTTTCGGCATCCTCGGTGACTTCCTGAAGCTGATGCCGGTACTAGACTTGGTGGTGGGGGAGTTTTTATGGAGGCTCCAATGCCCCCGGGCACGAAACGTCTCCCCCAGAACAGGTGCCCCCGAGGGGGTATGCTGCATGTCGTGGTGGGCCTTCATGACAAGACCACCCCCAAATGAGTGACTTCTCAGGACAGGCGTTGACTTACTAATGTGTGTGATGTGCTCCAATTGAACATGATTATCCAACTGGAAGGGATCTTTTCTGGTCATAGGAACTGTAATGAAGAGAAAAAAACCCTGTCTTACTCATTGCAGTGTCTAGTTACATCATCTGATGAAAAATCATATCTCAGCTGCTGTCTATATGCAGCTAGCTATAGCCTATCCTGATAAAATTTCTCTCTGCTGGTAACCGATCTACTGAATTTGATGAATTTTCTGTTTGGGGAATTAACTTCTGCTTATAAATATAGTTTCTATATGAACTTACTGTACCAATGATTGACCCTCTTTAGGCCTGAGAGAATCAAATTTTTGCATTTATATGATAGAATTGAGACTTGAATCTTTAACATCATTCCCTGATTTAAATCGAGATCAATATAGAGACCTTTTCATTAGTTCCTGCTGTGCATAGAATTAAGCAACAGGGGTAATGTGCATTGATAGTCAATCAATATTTCATGCATATGTCTGCAGCTATTATCCACAAATACACATCTATCATTTCTATGTGAATGCACCCACATTCAACCTCCGATACCACAGAAAAATTGAATCATTAAAGAACACAGCAGCCATTAATCCCAGATAAAAAGAAGAGTACTCATAATCAGACCTGAACAACCTGTTTTCCTTTGTAGATAATCCCTTATCATCTGTGGATCATCTCAGAGATAATCACATCACTAAGAAACCGACATCCATGTTTCACATTCTAGTTAAACAGTCAGTAACTTGAGCAGTGTGCAGTATACCCCTATGTCCCACTATCAGAGGAGGGAACAAATAGTGATAAAAAAAGAAGATAAAAGTTAACCCGAGTCTTTGTCAGAGACACTGGTGATAACAATCATAAACAAAACTCACAGCTTCCTTATCCCTTCACAGATAAATCCAAATTCTCAGGTAGTTCACAACTTAATGATGTCAAGACTGCATAGAAATACATATGCAATGGAATCTACTGAAGACTTAGTAGGACCAAAACAACAGACTTAATATTAATAGGCTCATTTTTAGAGGGAAAATACTGTATACAATGTTATTTTTGTACCATGTTAATTTCGCCCTTTCACACTTGCAAACAGTTTGATGACCCTTTAAAATTCACCGTCACAGTTCTCTTTGAGAAATTAAATTATACTGTGTTCTTTACAATACTGTTACATTGGGTGCCGTGCTCAGATTGTCCTGGAACTGACAAGTGAGAGGCCTGCCAGATGAGACTGGGTTGGGGTCTTTCGGGGGCCAAAGACCTTTTAAGGAGGGAGGGATGTGGCAGTCAGCCAGTGGCTGGATAGCTCAGTTGGTAGAGCACCTGACCAGAAATTCAGGAGCCCTGGGTTCATGTATATTTTCTCCTCTCCCGTTTTCTGATTTTAAATTTGCATACAAGTACGTCAGGTTAGGGTAAAAATAAAATGGTGCAAAAATTTCCCTGTAAACAGTATCCCATTTTCTGATTTTTCATTTGTAACGCGCTTTAAAGTTGGTATTCCATAATCATCAAAGCATCTGTGTTCGTACAAACATGATAAAATTGCAGATTAAGTAATTTTCCTGATGATACAAGTACTGAAAGATTATCAAAAACACAAATAATCAGCTGAAACATAGAAATCTCCTTTTCTAAAGGCTTGGAACAAATGCATTAGGTTGTATCAAGAAGCAAGGATCAGATATCAGAAACTCAGACAACCTTGCATGGCTTAATCAATACACAAAAAAATTCTTCTAATAAAAAATACACAAGAAAATCAGTTACCATGGAGATATTTGCTTTCTACTATCGTTTGCTGTACCAATAATTTTCTCTAAGTTTTCTAGGTCAACAAAATTCATTAAATTAGAAACCACTCTATTGCAGTCTAAACTTGATCTATTTAAAGAGAGAAAAGCACAGTGTGGGCCTTATGTAATAAAGCTAACAGTATGTCGTTGTGTGTTATATTACAAAATTCCCATAAGTAGAACAATTAAATTATGACCAAAAAATGTCACTTATATAATGTTACACCCTCAAAACAGTCAGCATGTTTTATAGTTCTTACCATGATTCTTATCACAATTAAAAAACAAATCCTGAAGAAAAAGCTTGTCTACATCAGCACTTAATCCTCATCAATAAAAAAACATGAATAAATAAGCTTCTGACTTCAACAAGAGGTTTTAACTCACTATTTCGATTACAACGTATGTATACTCCACCCAAAGTGTGGTATTAAGTCATGAACTGAAAACCGACACTCCAAAATAACAGAAACATGTCCTTCCTTATGAAAAAAAAATGACAACAATACACGGCAATTAGATCTATACTTTGAATGTGATTACACACATCAGGCATATTACGCATAACTCCGTAGTAAAATCTCTCTATATTGATTCAGCTGATGTGATTTTTCATTCTTACCTTATAATAATGATTGGCGATTGAGTGACTAACATCATTTTGTTCAATAGACGGCTATCCTTTTCACCCAGGGTAAACAATGATTGATCCTTCAGATAAACAATTACACAGGTATCAATAAAATTTTTAATCTGCCATTGTTCCTGATAGTGAGGGAGGCGTGACTCTATTTATGTATCAACAATCAATATTCACATTATCTTCCCCTCTCTTCCTCGCTCTAGTTTAAAAACAATATCACAGAGGTTAGCATCATAATGAGGAAAAAAACTAAAGAGAAAAAAATGCTCAAATTGTTTTTTCACACTGCAGAGGAAGAGTTTCAAGATAATCACAAAATATAACTTCTGTGGCCCTGTCGTGTGATGTATAACTGCATTAGGAGCCAATTTTACGTAAATCTCCTAATCTCCTAAAACACGTGGCTCATTAGAACTAACAAGTCTTCTCAAATAAAGACGTGGTAATTCACACATCTTACATGTCTACATCACTGCCCCAATCTATTACGAAAAGGTTCAATTCAGAAGAATTATCAAGAAACAACACTCGACTTTGAATTGATCACTTCCGATGGCTAGAAACAGTCTAAAGCATGGAGGAAAACATGCCAGTCTGCAATGGCTTTACATCAACGGCATTCAACAAGTTGGTTATATTAGCCTAGCAGCTATAAACTCGTGACATTTCCTCTGATCTCCATAAAATACACACTTTACCGCCAATGTCCCTCTCTCTCCCCAGATGCTTGGCCTAATAGCTAGCCATACTCCCAACAGAAAATTATTTTCTGGTGTTTTTTGTTTTAAATGAGATTTTAGAAAGAATCAGCCTGCATCACTCCGTGACTCTGTTGGATAAAACTGTGGGTTACCTAGGGGATTTTTAATTAACTCATAAAATCATCAGCAAATTACTAAAGCCAAAATAAAAAATGTTTCAAGACTTAATTCAATTTACAATTGCAATAAAATGGACAATTAATAATAACTGAAATATAAACTACT